ATATATAATAAAATCTGTAAGATCAGAAAATTCAGAACATTTTTCAGGGTTTACTGAAGTTGTTGTCTTTCAGTACTGACATAATGTCTGGCTTTTGTGTTATGTGTTTTAGTTTTTGTTTTTGTTTTGGCATTATTGCAAAATAAATTTGATGATAAGTCATAAAAGCCAGAGGCAATTTGATATCCTGTATTTAGCTTGCTTTGCAAAGACAGCTTCAGTAGCATAATTTTGTGCATGATTTTACTCCTGAACATTCTTGAATCATGAAATTTCAGCTTCTTCTACAGCACCCTCAAAGAGGGTACTCAGTGCCTCTGAAATTATAGCTTCGGGTTCATTACAGGATGCTGCAGACCACAGGTGTAGGAGAGTCAGGATCACGCCACTGTGGTGACTGGCAACAACAGTACATTTTGATCTTCACTCCTAGTCCTTTCCCAGGCCACCTTCCAAAAGGAGGACACACATTGAAATTGGCCCACCACTGAGGAGGGGTCTCTACCCATTTCCTGGAAAGAAATGTTACGAACTGCTGGGTGACCTATGCTGAATGGACAGGGTGGGCCTTCCTGGAAACTCCCTGGTAGACCAGCCAGTCAAAGCCATCTCAATAGAGGTTTAGTTGGCTTCCTAGCATCCCAGTAGGAGGAGGAAGCAGACAGGAAGTTCATGTGTATGACAAGCCTGTTCACTTTGGTCAGTAGTTACCAGTGACAATCCTGGTAATGACTGGTAGGGGCAGAAAGTCTTCATTCTGCGGCGTATGCAGGGCCTGGTAGCCGCCTATCCTTGTCTGTGTCTGTTTGTGTCCTGGTGCCTTTTCTTGCCCAAAAGATAGCTATATATTTAATTACTTCAACAAGATGTCCAGAAATAAATGTGTGCAAGGAAGGCAGTGAAGTATAGGAAAATATGTCACAATGATTTGGACAAGGTTACTTCTCAAAAGGAGCATTATGCTGACAACTCCAAGAACTTTAAAGCTCATTCGTGTAGCTCTGTGGAGACCTACTATGTGCTAGATATTGGGGATATTAAATTAATAGTTGTAATTTTTAAAATATATTAAATCCATGGGTCCTCCCTGGTGGCGCAGCAGGTTAAAGCACAGCACAAAGAGGTTTAAGCAACTTCTGCATGAGTTCGATCCCCGCCTGCCCCGGAGGAGATCCACATGGAGAGGCAGACCTC